AGGTGAATGAAGTGAGCGTGGTCCTCAAATTCATAAAACATTGTCAAAACAGTCTGAAAACAGACCAGCCTTCTCCAGACCTTGCGAATGATGATTGGAATAACTTGTGTCAGTACCGACAGGAAACCACTGAAACTGTCAGAACCTTCTCCAGGGTGGGCCAACTAGACAGATTCTAGCATCAATGAGGTTTTGGTGGATGCATCAATGGCAAAGTAGTCTTGACCAGGGTTTTATGAATGTTGTTTTATAGTAGCTTTGTAGAATTCCATAAAACTTAAAATGTTACTTGGTAGAGATGGCCCACAGCAACTCACGAAGAGCAACTGATTCCGATCAATAGCGGTGCGGCTTCTTCCTCCTTCTATGGATGCTCATGATTTCACAGGCAATCGGTGATAATTTTAATTATCATAGCAACAGTTGCACATCCGTGCAATTTTCAAAAGTGACATTTTGAAAAATTATAAAATCTTAAATTTAACAGATGCGTCGAAATATATCTGATCGATTGGTGATAAAGTTATTATTAATGTTATTAATGTTCAAAATCTTTCATAATTTTGTTACATGTTCCATTTTCGGTTTCCACAAAGTGTACCACCATATAGAAATCACAGACGCAGTGCTACGTCAAAAAACATAATAAAGTCCTTTCAATACGAATACATTTCCAAAAGATTCAACCAGAGATTATGAGAAAGAACGCGAGATGGAAAGAAAGAAGAAAATATGGTAATGGAATTTTAATACCCTGTGTCAAAAACGGTGTTTTGTTCTCTTATAATCTATTGTCCCTCTTTGGGCCATTCGACTTTTTGTCCCGCTTTGAATTATTTGACCTTTCGTCCATTCGAACTTTTTTCCATTCGACCATTTGGATATTCGACCTTTTGTCCATTAGATCATTTGTCCATTCGGCATTTTGTCCCTTTTTGAACCATTCCCCTTCTCATCATTCGACCTTTTGTCCATTCTACGTTTTGACTCGGTTGTGATAATTTGACATTTGGCCATTCGACCTGATGTACCTTAAACCTTTTGTCCTGTCTACCTTTTGTCAATCTACTTTTTCATTCGACGTTCTGTTTTTCGACTATTTGTCTGCAACCTTTACGGACGTATATACTTAATACGTTCAGTTTGATGGCTCCATGGATTTATTTAGCTTTAGATAATAACAAAAACTGCACATGTTCGGTACTGACTACATGGTCACTGACAATTGATGTGATTTCCTTTGAAGATCATTTTTAGCTCGATCGAGTGACGGAAGCTGTTTTGTAAAAATCGCCATATAGTCGAAGTTTTGCAGCACTGAATTCAACAAAGGCACCGTGCTACCGCCAGGTGATTGATTTAATTAGCTTCAGTTCATATTTGTCTCAATAATTGAAGGTTTATTCAAGTCATGAATGACCCAAGAGTGAAAAGTAAAACATCTAGAAGGTACAATTTTCTTGACTTTTCCTTTTTTGTGGAGACTAACGTTTACCCATTTAAACTATACATTACGTACATTTATGAAAGGCTGCTGAAAAAAAGTTACAAATAAGGTGCTATATTGACTTGAATTTTAAACTGAATCAGGGAGAAGTTATTTTTGATCTAATCTATATGTTTTTATAATCAAATTGTTGTGAAATATGCCAGAATCCTTTCATACACATCAATCTGATGTGACTAGATATGTCGTATGCTCAGTACTAAGAACATGTTGATTGTGGCCACTGGAACCGGTATCGGAAACATTTGGAATAGATTACTAGTCACATATAATCAGGGAAGTTCGTAAAATATTCGTGGAATAATTTTTTAAAACATCAATCTAATGTGAAATTAGACTGGCCCACAAAAATAAAGAATAAATTTTTCACGGGCCAACCCCGTAATTTGTTCGTTTAGAAAACCATTAACTGAAAGTTTCAGATTTTATTTGATTATAAGATGAGCTGACGCTTTTAGTTTGAAGTTTATATTGAAAATTTGGATAAAATACATGTAAAAGTGACACCCCTACACTCTTTCGATCATAATAAAATTTTCTTATTCTCGATTTGATTCAGATTTTCAAAACTTGTGGTTCAAACAATGAGTTTCAACTTTTCTAATAACTGCATCATGAATCCAGTTAGTTTTATTGAGATATTCGCCTTTGAACTCATATGAGCATTTTGTATAGGAACATTTCCACAAAATCCCCTGTATAAACATTAAACCAAAAGCTCTGGCCCGTGTTATATCAAAAACAGCTGAAACATTCAGAGAGTGGTCATCTCACCTAAATGCATGAGGTGAGACGACCACACTCTGGATGTTGGCCTTTTTATTGGAAATCTAGTTGATACGTTGCCTGTATTTTGTTGCAAACACAACAAAAAGCACGTATAAATTCAAGAATGAAAATCTCCTTAATACTAGCTTGAAACGTAACGCTGTCTTTAGCTAATTTGTTTCTTAAAGTTTAAGATACATGTTCTGAAATTCTGAGCTTAATCGAGTTTGTTGAACCAGTTCTATGCACGAAAGAGTGAAGGAATGTTATTTGAACTGAACTATGAACTTAAAATCAAAAGCGCCAGCTCGTGTTTCATCCGGATGAGCTAAAATTTTCAGAAAGTGGTGTTCTCCCCTAATGGCACAAATCTGGGGGTTGGCTCGTCTAATGTGACATGATGTGTCGCATGGTTAGTAGAGTGATGCAAAATATGAAATTTTCACGCCACAATACTTAAACGATCCCAAATCGGATCCTGACTAACCTCTCAAAATTTGAACGCATTTGGTGAGAAACTGAGATGGCACAAACCATTTGAAGTTTGTATTGGAATTACTATGGTAAAACCAAGATTTTTGTTCATGTCGATAATTCACCATATCGGTCTGCTTCAAAGCTTTCAACTGTACTTGTAGGAAATTTTCCCAGCTACAACTTTGCTCAAGACCACATTTTGATTAAATGTAAGGATCGAAAGTTATTAATGGTTCAATGCACTAATGTCTTATGATCATGCTCAATCAACTGCTCAGCAGGCAACATTGGTGTTTCTGGGGCGTTGAATAGGACACAAAAATCATGGCTACCATGTCACACTGCAAAATACAGTGTTGCCTACAGAGCAGCTGCTTGATCATGTCATAAGTTTACCAATCTCAACGGCGCCGGTGGTGTAGTGGTAAGCGTGATTACCTCTCACCCCAGCAGGCCTGGATTCTTCAATCCCAGCCGGCGCCGCCGGGATGTTCTGAGGCATAACATCTCTGATCACGCCTTCCTTCGGATGGGAAGTAAAGCCGTTGGTCCCCGGTTCATGAGTTGATGGGTCGATAGGTAGGGTCCAGGTGTGGGAGCTGCCTTCCTGGCACGTCGGTAGCATTGGTGCTCAGCACGGAAAACAAAATCGACGGAAAAAACAAACCAAAGGAAAAAAAAAAAAAAAATTTACCAATATATTAAATAATTAATAACTTTTTCCTGTCTCGTTTTACATAGAAACGATATTGAGCAAAGTAGTAGCTGAGAAATTTTTCTATAAGAATGGCTATAGAACGGTTTCGCAGCTTAATATGGAAAAAGACTAGAACGCAATGAACAAAAAGTTGAGATTTCCCATAGTAATTTACATGTAAACTTCAAATGGCTTGTGCGAAATCGGTTTCTTACCAGATGAGTTGTAACTTTGGGAGGCTAATCAGGACCCGATTTGAAACCATTTAAGCACTGTGGAGCTAAAAAGTCAAATTTTGCATCAGTCTGATGGCTAGTATTATGTAAAGTCTATTGTGGCCACCGGAGCCGGTGTCCGGTACATCCAAATTTGGTAACTAAAGGCAGACAATAATCATTTATCTTCAAACAGACATTGTCTCTATCTCTCTTAACTATTTCTTATATAGATTTGTGATATATGATGCAAAACTTGCATAGGTGTACTGTGGCCAAAAATGACTACTTCCGGCATCTATTCCTAGTAGCAAACCGGGTCAAAATCGATAATATCGACCATAATCTGAAAATTGAGACTTTAGCAAACCGTCTGACTATAAAAACAGTTGATAAAAAAAAACCATTACTAAAATTCAGATTGAAATCCGGGTCAATGTGACCCGTTGACAACTTATTCCATCCAAAATCAAACAACCGAGGATTGTTAATAAACGAGAACAGTGCTCAAGGGTTTTAATGATTTACTCAAATGTTCAAGAATGTGTTAAAATATTCTAAAAGACAGTTTAGCTAAGTCCAAGTTTTTCAAAAACTTGTCTAAATGAATGTGAGTTAGCAATTATTAGACTTTTTGAGTTGTAATGATTCTAATTTTTAACGTATTATAAGCGGAATTCGTGATATAAGCACAGTTTAACACAATTGTTATTTTACCACAAACATCGCTTATAACGCGTTACAACTTCCTAGTCTGTGACTGAACAAGGCTTAAGATAAATTATCTGGAAATATATATGAACTGCCTTTACACTTAAAAAGCCATACATTTATAATATTTAAAAATCTGGATTTGAAGCAGTATTTTTTTATGATAAATCGCGACCGATTTTTGACCAATTTGTTTGTGTGATCCAGTTGTATTCATATTAAAGCAGGCAAATTTCGTTTTACCATTTTGTTTAAATAATCATAATGTTATATTTTGCTTTTAAAATGCAAATATTTGATCCTTATTCTGAGCACCCCAATATATCCACCGTCAGAAATATGGCATTTATCCCAACAGGTATGTATGTAATTAGGTTTCTTTCGCTCTGCCACCACTTGATTTATTTTAAATTATGTTCCATTTTGGATTCCACCCCTCGATTCTGTCTCCTAAGCCAGATGTGTAACAAATGATGTATGTAAATTGTTTTTTGATTCATATGTTTAACCTTCTTGCTGTTTTCCTCATCCAACTGTACCAAAATAAAAACAAACCATCCTATATTCGAACGATTTTTGACCACCTAATACAATTTTGAAAACAAATCGCTCTTTTCCTCAATAGACCAGCACAGTATTATTACGACCTCTCCAAGATTCTCCCCTTAGTGGTCAATCAGCACAAACTGTTGCATTAGAATCTTCACAGTCGAACTCAGGGTATGACATATTTTTCTCTTAGTTTCTAAATGTTGTGCGTAACACGCTATTTTCGTTTTTTTTTTGTTATTGTACCTACATTGTGATTCCGTATTGATTGGATTTTTGGAAATCGTTTTGATTTGCACCACACTCTCTATGCTTTGCAATTGGCGTTTGTAATTTTTGTTGTCAAAACTAAAATCGCTGAATAGTTTCAATCTATTAGAGGTTGGAACTTTTTAGCGGATTAATTCGGTGACATACATCAACAGATGAGCAAGGGAATACACTTTGGGTAGCCCACGGAACATTAATACCGAAGTAGTTTTCCTTTTTAACGGTATGATGTCCTACTGGGAAACTCTTATTGTTTGAACAGCATCAAATCGATTTCAGTGACCAGTTGCTTCTGTTGATGCACACTGGTGAAACAGTTGTTGAAAAATTCACCAAGCAAAAATATACGGATGAACATTTCAAACACTTTCGACCGTATGCTTTTCCATGCATAATGAATGTTATTAAGTCTCACCCATCTTCCCGTACCACTTGTCTTCGCATACACCTACTACTGACGATGACGACGGTTGTTCTTCGCCATCCGACGATGCATGGTGTATGGTATTTCGATGGTTTTCATTTGGTTGTGCATTTATACGTACTTCTATTGTGCCGGTGATGTGCCATGTATCGTCATAGTCGACGGCAACCGTATACGGCAAAAACTTCCAATCTGGAAGTTCTGGTCCAAGCAGAATGGACGAGGATCCTCGACTGCTCGGTAACCATCGTGGAAGTGAGAGAGGGACCGGACGATGGGAGAGAACATATTTTGAATAAAACGCGGAGTGGCTTGATATGGGGAAACATGCTGTTTATGATTGAACCGGGAATAATCGTGTTGATTGGAAATTGAATGGCCGGTGGATGGTTGATCTGATTGATGGAAAGGGTATTTTAGAGAAGAACTAGTGTGATGAACATGATTCCAGGAATGGAGGCAACCCATTACAAAACATGGCTGCATGGATGTCTTTCCTATAGGTTTTACATGTGTATGTGATGGGAGTTGTGTGATTGGGACTGATTTTAGGAGATTCAAATCATTTACGGAACAAGGGTTGTGGAGTTGGAGTAGGAGTCTTGGAGTCAAAGTTGGACACATTTTTAAACATAAGGAGTCGGAGTCGGAGGCGAAGAAATAGTACCGACTTCGACTTTGACTGTTATGAATAAATAATTTGAAACGTGAACCTAATTAGGTCCACGTGCTACTTTTTTGGCTCATGATTAATTAGATTGAAATCGAATGGCTATCACGAAAACTAAAATAATTCGCCTGAATCGTGATTATTAAGATCTACTCAGTTCAATACGTTTAACGTTCAACGTTTTTATTTATATTTTATTATTTTTAGGTTTCACATTGGCATGATGTATCATAATAATTTTATTCCAAATTAATACGGCGAATTAGCCACATGCCAATTATATTCTCACAAATTCCATAGCAAAACAATATTTCCATGTTAAGGTGGTCCAAAAAATCTTCAATACTAGACTACCATGCGACTCCATTGAATTATAGCGACTATAACATGGTCACGACGCATAGTAGGCATCGATTTTTTGGACCAACCTAACATAAAAATGGTTACCCTAATAATAAAAAAACGGGTCTAATATCTTGCAATAAGGAACAAAACTACAAATTCTGAGAACCATAAGATTATACCAATATTATGCCTCCCTCCGAAAATACCGTATGCGTGATAATGTTTGCACCATCATCGTACAAATAAGGTTCCCGTTTCACCTGTGCATACAATGCCTTGGTTTTCTTTGCATGCACGTTCACGTAACTTATAGCTCATACCGTAGTAGGCTGTGCATAAAAGAAAATGATTTACTTAGTTTGACAGTTGCACCATGACGAAGTGGCAGCGTTATCGTGATTTGTCCCACGTGCAAATGTCGCAAAAAGACATTTCAATCGCCGTGGGAGTGTCCCGGTCCGGTGGACCATCAAAAGGGTTTTAGACCGAGAAAAGAAAGAACAACTATCCGTGAAGGTGGACACAGGTCGTCCGAAGTCAGCTCGGGTTCCGAGGGTTATCGCTGCTATCAAAAGGAAGATTCGGATGAATCCAGTGCGTTCAATAAGGAAAATGGCAAAGGAACACGGGATCAGTGACTTTACGGCATGGAAGATCGTAAAAGAAGGTTGCGGGGCGAAGTCGAGGGCACGGAAAAAAACTCATATGATTACCAATCGCATTTTGAACTACCAAGAAAATCTTGAACTTCCTCAAGCGAAAAAATCCGGTAATCCTGTTCGCCGACGAGAGCATGTATACCGTTGATCCCGTATAAAATTCCAGAACCGACCGGTATATAAGTTCTTTTCCGGTAAACGACGTGGCCGACGAGCGCAAGAACGTGTATCTGACCAAGCATCCTGCTAGCGTTATGATGTTTGGATTGATGGCTTCCGATAGCAAAAAAATGGACCCGGTGTTCATTTCAGAAGGCGACAAGGTCAACACGGAGGTCTACATCGGGATTTTAAGTAAGTATGTTCTTCCGTGGATCAACCCACACCTTTTTGCTTGCTGAGCAGACACTCGGCGCACTGCACCACCTGAACCACATTACCAAATCTCAAATTTCTGGATTAAGTCTGGGGATAATTAAGTCTTTCCAACGACTACATTTTGACACATCTGTACAAGGAGTCATTTATTACAGGTTTCCAAAAACAATATCGTATTTTTTGCGACAAGAATTTATTATGGATTTCATAAGATTGAGCTATGAAAATCATTTTGTCATTTTGAGGCAAATAATTTCATAAAGTGCGTCGTACGAAACTCATTGGAGACATTAATGCTGCTTGCTTTCTATTTCTTCTCCTGGGAGGTGATTTAAGTGTCGATGAGCACAACAGCTGGTTTTACAGGCAATGCTGCATTATTATTGGCGATGTTTTGCAAGATTCATTTAAGCTGCAATATGTTTTGCAATTTCAGTTCCGGAGAGGAAAAGCGTCTAAGTATTCTTGGCCTCTCCGCCACTGATGGGCACTGCAAAGCGAGTGGCAGCTCTTGGCCGAATACAAATCGTATAGAGCACCACAGCCACCCTAGTTGTCCCAGAAGATGGTGGTGCCGTCACCGAACACGCGATCCACTTCGGCTCCTATAGGACATCCTCTGCATCCTGAAGCAGGCAAATCTGTATATTGTGGTGGCACAGCTGCTACTGAATCTGCTAGCTGCAAATCAATAATACCATGATGAAAATGCACGATTGCCGTATATCTTTGATTGCATTGAAAAACAATGTACATACGGGTATTATGAATTCATACGAAGCATATGAAAGTGGTTTGGAATCAGATTTTCATACGTTTATACGATGGTGACTATGAAAATCGCATCTATAATTTCCTCAGTGTAGGGTTAGGAGTACCGTGAAGCGGGGTAACATTGATAGTTTTTCAAAGTATATTCTAAATATTTTTACAGCAATGAATGTTTTTTTTAACTGAGGATTTAGTAGATTCATTAGTAATATGTTTAACGTAAATTATTGAATTTGCACTATTGTTTTAGTCTTATAACTAAAAATCATTATTTTGATTTGGGGCTACTTTGATAATGCTCGATGAAAGTAGAAAAACATGCGTGAAACTCAAACAATTTAGTTAAACAAAAAAACTTTGAATGAGTATATAATCAGAAGCATCATAAGCAATAAGAAGACAACATTGAATTTGTGATGGCTATATCGGAAATACATTTCACAAGTGCTTGTTTGAGTACCTTTTCGAACAGGCGAAAACAAGATGTTTTTTGTTAAATATGTTTGGAACATATGTACACATACTATATAAAAACTCTATACGATATCAAAGGCAATACCCTAAGCTATAATATGGAACAAATGTTTCCAATTCGGAAAAAGTGCAGAGAGTAAATTTAATTATTATATTCTACTATCAAATTTACCCGCATTATCAAAGATATCCCGTTTTACGGTACTTCTAATTAAATTAAAAAAAGATATACATAATTCGTTTGTATCACACATTTTTACCAACATCAGAGCATCAATCATCCACTTGAAGTAACAGTTAAATCTCTATATCAAGGTACTTTAAAGTTAACTTTAAAAAAAAATCCGTAAAATATCATTTCATTTTCAGTCTTTTGTGTTTTTTAATGTGTTGTAATGCAGATGGTTAGTTAGTTATGTATTTACGTGTATTTGTTGAATATGTTCATGAAATAATTCGACGAATTCAAGGTAAAGCGATGTTTTCGCAATTATTCATTTTGGGTCGAATGGTTTCAATCACACTTTATTATATATATTATTGCTAGCATTTTTGCTATACATTCTTTATAACTACAATTATAGTGCATGTCCAAAGCAGCCAAGCATTAAGCTCTCTGATATTCCGCCATTCCGTGGACAGTCGATGAAGCACAGTTATAGTATATACGATAAACGAAGCATCAATCTTGGGTATGGTTTAAGTATAAACTTTCCCTTCTTTAAATCTAGATGTTTCTAAATCTTCCCGTAGGTGTGAACTTAGACGTCTTATTTTATCCGATCTAGCTGAAGTATGCAAATATTTTTCAAAATTATCTCTAGCTTTCTTATTGTTAAGTTGTTTCTTCTATCAAAAGAAAACTGTCCATTGAACAATTCGGTCTAACGAGCATAACACTAGAACAAGTGAATGTTATCCCCCCTTGTCCCCACCAACCATAAATCTTCTCTAACACCCACATATCAATACTTGCAGTGAAACCATGAGTCCGCGGATATCCTCGCAGCCAATTCAAATCCCAGAGATTCCTCCTTTTCGCAAGCAAGCACATTCTACTATGCACTCACCGGTCAACCAGAGCCCGCAAAACGTTTCTTCGGCGAACGCTTCCCCACCCAGGATACCGGAAATTCCTCCCTTCCGGCCGCGCATCAAATCAAAGGAGTGGATGCCCAACATCGAGGTGAGCCGACTAAAGGTCAGTTTTGAACAAGCGGACAGTACTGTACTAACCCGTGTGGATGCACTTTTCTTTCTATTCTCTCCTGTTCATGGTACTATCATCGCATTATTTGTTTTTTTTTTCGTTCCGTTGATTATCATCCACTTTGACATCTCATTGAATAATGGTAATGAATTGCAACAAAAAGCACACCGAACACCATCTCACGATTGGGCCTAGTGGAGGTGCCGAGTGGGCGAAACGTTTGAAGGCGGCAGACCCTTCAATTATACACAGAAGCACCGACTGTATTGTAGCGAAGGTAACTTGCAAAACCAGCTTGGCGGCGTAGCCTTTTTGGACTCGGTGCTGTGTGTGAATTCACGATTTGGCCCAAGAGATGATCGCAAAATTAAAAATTGATTCGTCGACCGTTGCACTTGAAGGCTATGCTTTGAAATTTATTAACATGTTTTATGTTTTACCTTGCAGCGCAACACTGCTTAAAAATACATCGAATAACTTGTCTGTTTGATTTGCTGTCAAAATTGATACATACTGAAATCTGCATGATTGTATCGCAAAGCACTTAAAGTAACTTCTGTTTTTTTTGCTAGACACTTACAGTAACAGTTTTATATGTTTTTATTTTCAATCATGACATGCCTATCAAATTAAAAAAATGCAGAATTACCACTTAATCAATAATTCTAAAAACGTAAAAACTGGGGGAAAAATTCGGGGGAACTGTCATGTTGGCAAAATAAAGCTAGCTTTGAAACACCGTATACCTAGGCTTCACATTTAACTGAGTTTACTGTTTACATCTATCTGTCAACATGTCTTTGCAAAATATATTTTTTTCCGTTTTTAAACTGCACAAAACTATACTTTATTTGCATATACTTTTGTTTACTGTATTTCAAGTCGCAAGCGTAGTTTGAAGATACCTTTTATTTTGACTGAAATTAAAAAGGTTGCGAGGTTAGAAAAATATTAGCAATTTAATAATTGGATTTTCTTGAAAAATACAGACGTCTTCGCATCATGTCATTTGTCAACTATTTACGCCTAGTTGGAAGGAAATTATTCAGACCAAACCTGCTTAATCAAACATTGCACAGTGGTCCAGGAAGCAAAATTAGGTGGAATAAATTAATAACTCGAAAAATATTAGAGATAGCGTATTGACGTCTTCTAAACATTTTCTTGTGAGCTTTATTCGCGTTGGTTGCAAAAGTGTCCTAAACGCCAAATTCTACCAGCAACGTAATTTGGCCTCTAACTTTTTTATTTCAATAGATAGAGAAATTAAATGTTCTACAAAGTTGTGAACTATAAAAAACTAGAAAACTTTTTTGAACATCGTTTTTGTCTATCTCTTTTATATTTGGAGATATAAGCCATTTAAAAAAACAAAAGCCGAAAATCAGATTTTCTGTCATATTTTATTTAAATATCACTTTTTTGGCCTACTATGTTCAGAACGATTATAGTTAATTTTAAAATACATATTTGCTCCAAAGACACTATACCAGTACAAGTCTCCTGTCAAAAGTTATCGTCAGTTTTGTAGTCTTTTAGCTCAAATTTTCAAGCGTAATATTTCAAAATGGCGCAAGTACAACCGATAGTGATACATATCACTTTAAAAAGCATATCAAGAAGTACATTTTAGCAACTTTTGGTGAAGGTAATTTTTGATTTTTTTAAATAAATGCACTTTGAAAATAGGGGTTTTTATTCCATAAATCTACATTGTTCGGACTTCTTTCGAGTATCAAAGAACCAGATCGATGATACACTATTTTGTGAATACATTTATATAATATATAGCATATAATCTTCAAAATAGCATAAGAAATGGAACCCAAGCAAGACTGCTAATGCCCTTAACATAAACAAGAATATTATTTATAGGTATGCGTATTTCATACACAAACAGACGAATTTGAAAATTTTAATCAATCATTCACTGCGGTATGAGTTAAAGCAAGCGTTGATTTTTGAGACGCTGAATTGTTCATTTCAAAACGTTGTAAAATGAGAAATGGTATTTTTTTTTCAAGTGCTTTCATTATATTAACTCAGATTTTATTTATCAGCGATTCGTTTGGCCGATCTTACCCTTCTTCTCATGAACGGAGATAAGGTAAAAGATTTATTGGAATTTGTAAAGAAAAAGTGATATTTAAAAAAAATATGACAGAAAAACTGATTTTTGGCTTTTGTTTTTTTAAATGGCTTATATCTCCAAATATAGAAGAGATAAACAAAAACAATGTTCAAGAAAGTTTTCTAATTTTTTATAATTCACAACTTTGTACAATATTTAGTTTCTCTATCTATAGAAGTAAAAAAGTTAGAGGCCAAATTACGTTGCTGGTAGAATTTGGCGTTTAGGGCACTTTTGCAACCAACGCGAATAAAGCTCACAAGAAAATGTTTAGAAGACGTCAATACGCTATCTCTAATATTTTTCGAGTTATTAATTTATTCCACCTAATTTTGCTTCCTGGACCACAGTGCATTGTTGGCTTTGTACAGCTCAATGAAGGTAGAAAAATGAACATGACTGCACTTTTCATCCTTATTTTCTGATGTCATCCAGATGGTAACCGCAAAAATGATATCAAAAAAATCTCACAACTTTCAAATCTAGTGATTAAAAAGCTGTTATCGGATACGACAAATTTTCATCCATTTAATGGTTGTGAATGAAAATACTGTGCAACTCGACTATCTAGGACATTGGCTCACTACTTGACTAGCCTATTGGTCCCAAGCAAATCGATTAACGTACCCCATTCTAGCCGAAATTCTAGTACTGCACAATGTTTGTTTTGATTTGCCATGAAAGTTACAGATATAATGAGAGGTCCGTAGATTTTCCTATGTTTCGAGGGGTGCATCGATTAGCTTGGAACCGAAGATAAATAGTACCAGAGCTGAGCCAAAAAGTTGAGCATGTTTCTTCGGGACCTACTAGTCTTAGAGTTACCTCTATGATATTACTGTCGAATTTACTCTAGGACCCTCAGTAGGGGAAACGCTCCAATAGTTGCGATACGTTAAAAGCGTTAGGTTCCTACCCAAGTAACCAAAAGTTCTGATAAAAGGCTGTTTATGGCTTAAGCAGCTTGGTTGAAGGTGGTGTATAGAATTCTTAGCAGCCTCATTTTTAAGTCGTTATAAAACCTTGAAAGTTCCGGTAATTCTATATTTAGTTCGCACTTTTATGAAAGTTATATCTAAAGGCAAATATTAAATGTGTATTGATTTATCAGCATTATAGTAGTAGTAATGGAGCTGTTTGAAGAATTAAACCCAGTTCTTCTACGTGAGAGTCTCAGCACAATCCGCTACGTCATCTGATATATATTAAAGTGAGCTGTTGTCCCGCCTATTGTTGGAGTTTTCTTAGCCACCTGACTGACTTGAATACGAAACACAACACTTTGATGAATTTTAAATTGGTGTTTGACCGCATCATATTCCATCACACTTGTGGCGCAGTGGTGAGCAATCGTAGATCGCATGCCCGAATACACGGGTTCGAAATCAGGAAATTACTTTTTATTTTATTTTTTATAGAATGTTGCATAAATATAAGAATTATGATTTATTCGGGCCACTGATCATTTCATATTTACGTACATTTAAGTTTGTTACAAATAAAGTCTTGTGTGGATTGCTTCATGTGGCTTGAAAGTTCTGTCGCAACTTTATTTGAACTTTATGGAACTTGAAAGTTCTGTCAGAACTTTATTCGAACTTTATGGAACTTGAAAGTTCTATCGGAACTTTATTTGAACTTTATGGAACTTGAAAGTTCTGTCGAAAGTTTATTTGAACTTTATGGAATTTGAATGTGCTGTCGGAACTTTATTTGAACTTTATGAAACTTGAAGGTTCGGTCGGAACTTTATTTCAACTTTATGGAACTTGGAAGTGATTTTAATCGTTGAATGCGGAACTTTTGGTTACTTGGGTATAGTTTGCATGGAGACTCAATATACAACTTAGAACGCTTCTAACGTACCGCAACTATACACAGCAAAAAAATAATTTTGATATCACGTCAAAGTGGATGCACTACAATCATGTCGAAAATATGGTTTAATATTACTTGCTAAAAAGGACAAAATTATCATTAATACAATGCATGAACTGACATTCCGCTGCTTTTACTGCATTTGTTTATTTATGTGGTCATAAACATTACATGAAATTTTCGACATGATTGCAGTGCATCCACTTTGATGTGATATCAAAATTATTTTTTTGCTGTGTAGGAGCGTTTACTCTACTTGTTTAATTTTTTTTTTGAAAAACATTCATTGCATTATATATAAATAGAATATACTTAAAAAAAACTATCAATGTTACCCCGTATTACGGTATCAATAATCACTTATTCGAGCAGTTTCAGGACGACCGTCAATCCCAAAATTTTAAGAAAATGAAGCAAAAGTTTGCAGTAGTTTTAGGCTTAGCCTTAATAAATTCCTCTTTTCTTGAGGTTATAGAAAAACATATCTTGAAATATTGCTCCGTTCGAGGGGTATGAAAATTTAATTTTAAACTGCACGAATGATGCGATTAATCTAGCTCCTACACACAGCAAAAAATAATTTTGATATCACATCAAAGTGGATGCACTACAATCTTTCGAAAATTTCATGTAATTTTTATGACCACATAAATAAACAAATGCAGTAAAAGCAGCGTAATGTCAGTTCATGCATTGTATTAATGATAATTTTGTCCTTTTTAGCAAGTAATATTACACCATATTTTCGACATGATTGTAGTGCATCCACTTTGACGTGATATCAAAAATTTTTTTTGCTGTGCACACTTAGAAATAACTGCCTTTACACGAGACGTAATCCATAATGGATGTAAATCATGGAACGTAAATAAACATTTCATATCAAATTAAGTGTTTTCCAACCGAAACATAAGCAACTCGACAAAGAGAACGTTTGGTTGCATTGATTTTCTCGTTTCTTTCAACTGGTTCTTATGTCAAAGAGGCCGCTTACATGTGTCGGTTTCAGGGAACCGACATTTACACGATTTTTTCGTAGTGTGTTGGGTAGATTTAACAGACATGGCAATCCAGTATTTTGCGATCGTTAATGAACGCCGTGAGTGCCCATGAATGTGACGTTCAAGAAGGAGAAAATATTTACTTGTTTTAGTCTTGGCAGGCTTAATATTTTATATATTCGCTTGATTTTGTTTTTGGTTGTATTTACAATATTGTTGATGGATTAGATTCAGATTTCTTTATTAAAGAGACCTTCATAGTCAATATTGTTGATTGCAAAGCCTACATAGATACAAAAATGTAAATATTTTCTACGTCAAGAATTATTATTATTATTTAGCTTTATAAGGAGGCTTTCAGCCTTGGGCTGGTTCGCCTCCAACTTAAGATACGTCAAGAATGTCAAAAGGGCACTCAATAAAACTTACTTGGCAAACTTATCGAGCGCAGAATACTGGATACGTTGGATACCATATGCCATATAACAGGAAGGCACCATGATAGGTCTATATGGCTATGACTGGTTAATCTACACTCAAAAAAATTCTACACGTCATCATCATGTGTCTCACACTTAATTTTGCGCTTATTGTGCAACACATCCATTTCATGTGTGAATCTTATGCTATGAATCATGCCTGAACACTATGGATTTGAATTGTGACACACTAGGATACTATGTGTCTCATATGGTGATAACAATACACGCAGGCAACAAAACTTATGAATTTTAGCCACAAGAAATCAGTATGAGTTTCATTGATTTGCCTTATGAAAAATAATGATTTTATGCCTCAGAAAGTCCCAGTTGTGCTGACTGGGATTGAACTCAGGCCCTTTGGGGTGAGAGGCAATCACGCTCACCGCTACACCATCGGCGCCGCTTCCGCAACTGATTTTGTAAACAATAACTTCAAACATCAACTTGTTTGGCCTACTACAGTGTTACCAGATTCATAACGAATATACTTTGTATCCGCGATCCCTCGGATACAACATATACCTTGTTGTTCGTGCAAGTGACATTTACCGCCTTTACCCTAAGTAATAAAATAGTTTCTATTTTTATCAATAGATGTCACCATTCAATGTATATGTAATTGACAATTAGTTTAATCATTATGTTATGTATAATAAATAAATGAACTGAATAGTATCATCTGCCTCAGCCATGGCAGGACGGACCAAATCATCATCACATTTTAATTATAAAATCACAACGTACAAATCGGGTCCTATCTGTGAGCGATCACTAGTCAAATTTTACAAAATATTTACAAAATTAGACGAAATCATGTTCCTCCGGATATATCGTATATTTGTTGCGCAAACTAAAACCATCACCAGATAGGGTAAAATTTTCCCAACCTTGAGGTTGCGTGCGGGAAGTAATTTTTGAGTTAAAAAGCTTTAAGTAGTTGAGCAATTCTCTACTTATTTTTTACGATTTTTTTTAATTTTTTTTTTATTTATCGGCTCCGATTTTGATGAAAATTTGCACAGTTGTTCTTTTTTAGTAAAGATGCCAATTTGTGTTATCAGTTCTTCAAATTGAATCACGACTACTTTTCTAACAGGGCCTGTGTAAAAATAGTACTAATGAGTTAAAAAATATATATTGCTGAAACGGTTTGTTGGATTGATTTGGTGTCTTGAGCAAAGTTGTAGATGTTACTTTGGCATCACCATCACCAATGAGGTTAAAAACAAAATTTTTCAAAAATGCACTTTTTGAGAAATTAACTTTTTTAATAATAAATATAATTTTTTTCATTGATACAAACGAAATTTTTTACAGTGTATATATTTTTACACAATTGCCAAAATAATATCTACAACTTTGCTGAAGACACCAAATCAATCGAACAAAGCGTTTCGGCAATATATATTTTTAAACTTATTAGTACTATTTTTACACAGGCCCTTTTCCAAAAGTAGTCGTGATTCAATATGAAAAACTGAGAGCACAAAATGGCGCCTTTACTAAAAAGGAACAACTGTGCAAAGTTTCAGCGTAATTGGAAATGATCGGTCAGGATCGATTTGCGAACCTTCGTGGAATGCCTCAGTTGTCTCTTATTTATATGTAAGCTATGTACCTATTTATGAGTTCTTTTCACTCAACATCATCTTTAATCTACTCCATACTAAGTTCTACACAACTTACTCATTCCGGATAACTCCGGTGACCATAATATAAAATTAAGCCATTTAAGATTACATACATTATAGTCACTTTAACACATTTTAGGTAATTCGTGACTTGTCCGGGAATAGGATATGAACTCGTTACCTTTAGTGTTAGAGACATGGATGCATACCACTATGCCGGGCCCGTTCGCCAATATTGGACTTTCTTATGGTCTCCTGAGTTATCTAGAATATACTTTTGCTATAAAGCGTAACGTATTTTTAGATACATACCTGTCTACATTTGGGTGTCACTGTGTAAAAAGAACTACCCAGAATGTATTCTGAGCACCGACACATATTTACATGATTTTCGATATTCTACTCCACGGAATTTCAGGATGGCACGTTGACTGTATTCTGATAATGCATAAGAATGGCTTTTTCGATTTATTGAAGGTTGCTGTTACAAAATGTTTTGCTTAATATCGAGTGTGTCTTTGTATAACTTTCATTTTATTAAAACAATCTTAACTATTCCAGCAACAAGAACTGGCGACGGGGTCCGATTCGGAGCTGCTAAAAGGGGCACCCTCGTGGAGCAACATGGCCCCGAAACCTGCCATCGAGCAACGCGGAACTAGCACAACTGCACCTCCCGTAAAGGCACAAACTGAAGAGGAAGCAAAAGGTATTGCATTCTCTTCCTAGTTTCAAATAGCGACCGTTGATTGTTGGTAATATGCTTGTACTCTTTCAGTCGCAGCTGAACTGGCCGCCAAGAAATCACGACTTAAGCAAAGTCTGGTGAAACGGGCCCGTTCGGTGGCAATATTCTCCTTAAAGTTGAAAGAACAACGAGCAAAGCGCGCCGAAAGAGCTGCACAAGAAGCGAGAGTAATTGCCCTCAACTATTTACTAATCGTATCTCCTCGAATTAAACCGTTTACGCTCGCTTTCAGGACGCACTTCCAGCACCACCGCCCGGTGGCGAACTGTCGCTGATTCCCATCGAGCAACTGATTCAAGTTGACGACGTTCTGAACCAGCGCAATCAAACGCACTCTAGCGGTAGCACTAGCACCAATATCAATAGCAACAATGGCTCAGGAAGTACGTAAGACCCAAGCATGCTTTACGGCGGGTGACGGGTGACATACACAATGACGAGGTAATCCTCTCTGTACAGCATATGAAAATAGCAACACACTAGTTCGTTACATTGACTAATCCTTAGAATCAGGTAAAATAATAATATTGTTGAAGGCAAAAGCATCAGAAGAGAATCGAATATGTACATTGTAAAAGCTAACATAGGAAGCGAACCATTTGAGAGCCATTTTAATCGTAGAAATTTGCAGAAGTGATTCAATGTTTAGGAATTTTACAGTAGCGGGAAAAGCATCAGGAAAAGGGCAGTTTTAAAAGTAAGAACCTGAGCGAACGAGACAAGTATCTATGTAGACACAAGTAGAAGGAACCAAGGGTTTTAGGAATGGAGTGTAATATCAGAAGTAGGGGTCGTTCGTGATGTGGTGTTGGGTGCTTCTCGACAGTATTATAATTGGTAGGAAGGACGAGGAAGAGGTCTAATAGAACATAAACAGAAAAAAATATAAAACACGGGTGCGATTGTAGTTTTGGTAAAACTTTTACAAAATTGGTTGACAAACAAAAGGGTACGAGAGGACTGAGCGGTACCGAACTCCACGGCCAAAAGTGAATTAGAGACAGATGTTCTAAAGTATTTAGTGCTTTGGCAAAAGCGCCTCAATGAATTGTGAATATAATTAGGAACTGATAGCAAAGAGCGTAAGAGGTTGAAACAACGAGTTTTATGTTAGTGATGATGTCAGTATTTAACCATTTCGTTCTAATGTGGTGGCATAGGTTATCTAGGACTGTTCACGATTCTTCCGTCATACTCTGCTTGTTCTATAACTGGTGGAAAAAATGTGGTGTGGCCCCATTCGAATATTACGAAACTCAACAGTGGGTGAAGTTGTCCTATCATCGCATTACATGTCATGTATTTGGTTTTGAAAGAGTTCGTGGCGAGAGGATGGGGAGACCATTTTATTGGATTACGTAATATTAGAACGAACCCTAAACACTAAATTTGGAGATTTTAAAATTTGTTTAATAACAATTTTTAGGAGTTCTCCAATAGATTTATACAGCTTGAGAACTACGTTTTCCATACACTAAAGCCAAAGAAGGTATTCTATTAGGACATACAAAGTTCTGAACTCTGGATATATTAAATGCATTGACATTTTATTATTTATAATCGTTATTTTCACTCATATTCTCGATTTTGTTCGAAAGTTTTTAAACAATTTATGTTTTGTATGAAAAATACGGTTTGAACTAAAACAAGAATATGGGTGATGAGTTAGAGCATTTCCAGACCAAACAGAAAATGAATTTCAGACTCGAACTTCTTCATTTCTATCTCATTCTTAGGTTTGATCTCATCATAGGTGGATACATTCAGGTTTTCCTCTGGCGTGCATAGTGAGGATGAAGGCAAGGGAGGGATAAACTAATAAAATTACACTAGCAAACTAATCCACATAACGCGAGTTCTTCGTGGTGCGTTATGGTGTAAGATCTACCACCGAATCATAGTCGACTACTAGAGGAACAGGATTTTGCAGTAACCAAAGGAACAAAACTCTGGAAACAAGAAAACAATGCCTTAAGCAAGCACCACACAGGCAAAATATTGTCAATACTAAAAAGTATCATATTGATGAGTATATTGACGCAAAATCAAAAAAGTTTGATTTCATGTTTCAATATTTTCCCTCATTTTCCTCTTCTGTTTGACTACAGCAGCAGATGTGGCCTGTTCTTTGGCATCTTTTGTCAAGGTGGTTGTGATTTGATTCGAAATATGCCAGCGGCTAAAACATTGTTAGTGAGGAGCGACTCAGTATTGATTACCTCCCGAGCATATTGTTGAAAATATTGACATGAACATATTGATGGAAATATTGACGAAACTTCTGTCAAGTGGGGCGCTTTTTGGACTTCTATGTGATTCCTAATTTTCTATTCGTTGTTCTCTAGTTTGAAGTGGCTAAGACTAGGGTTCTGATGTATGGTCAATATCGGTGTCATTGCTTGATTTTGACTAACAAAGGGGCGCGCCTTTGGAGGGTGCTCTAGGTATTAGAAGGGTATTGAGCACAGGCCAAATAGCAAAAAATAAATGAATTTCAGACTCGAATTTCTCCGATTTGTATGCAACTTAGTATAATTGCTTTTTATGGTCATTCATTCACATTAGAGCAAAAGATCGGCCAATTTGAATCTTGCATACAAAAATTTCGAAGGAAAGCATTTTTTGAAAATGTTTCATTAGCAGCCAAAAATATCCATTTGTATTGTCCAGATGACGAAAAATTGAAGAACAGGAGATTTCTATCAATGGGCCCAATCTTTAGATCCATAGGTTAACATTAAAGCCATATCCCCTACCATAATAGATCAAACTACTGATCGTAGTGGGTTTATGTCACGAGCATGGAGGACAAACTGCATTTTTCGTCAAGCCAATTCGATGGTTTGTTTACATGCATTATTTGTTGAAAACCTAGGATGAAGTACAATGAATTATTTTTGATTGAAGATTTTAGAAAATTGTTTTTGCTAATTTAAAAAAAAATGCAGTTTCGGTTCCCCGAGGTAAATTTGAATAATTTTAATATTGATTGACTGCAATACTTCTATTCATTTCTTTATACCGAGAGAGTAAAAGTTGGTTCGATTTAAGAGTCCAAAAATAGCTCGATTTTAGAGCCGTGGGGAATAACGCATTATGCGGCCTCGCAAATTACATTTAATTTAAAACTATGACCGTTGACCGTTGCACTGAACACTTAACAGTAGACAACCGGACAACACACAACATCTACTAGACCAATAGGGCAATTCCGGTTGAAGCAAGAATCGAACTACTACCGTACTAATCTAATTTAATATAACACCAACACAGCCAGTTCTTGAAAGCATCCTGGCAAATGATTGATATACCTCCATGATTTTTCTTGACTATTTGATATATGCTTCACATCGAAGATGCGTCACACATATCAAAACGGTCAGGCCTACTGTGCAGCATTTAAGGGGTAAGATGATTCAGAAAAAATCGGGCCCATTAAAGTATATACGACAGATGGCGGTAGGGTTTATAATTATAAATTTTCAATGTGTTGTGTATGCTTGTCTGTGAAATAACATTGAGGTAACGTTAGGATAAATACAAAACATTGAGAAATATTACGCATCACTTTCAGAAATACTTCAATTCGCAACCGATGAACCATTCTGACGGCCATATGAGTACCCAAGTAACCATATAGTCGCAATATAGCTTGTATATTCTTACTTTGCTTGAGTATGGTTAATTGGGGAATCTGATGAAACTGTCACTTCTTGAAACTGATCCCTTTCGTATTTCTTTCATTCTCCTTTCGCAAACGGAGCGCTCGATGGACCAGTGACTTTGGACGTGAGCCTCGTCCCAGATCACCATGGCAATTCAATAACATATGGTGGACATCAAACCGACCAAAAAATGCGGAATCATATTAGAACCAACCAACCAAGGACGGTCTACGGAAGGAAATTGCCGGTGAAGCACGGAATGAAATACGAAGCGTTAGAGAAAAAGTCCAAGGGATTCCAAAAGAAGCAAATAATGACGGCGGAAGAGCAGAATATGGTGAGAGCTTTCCATTTATTAATAAAAAAAAAAAAAAAAAATATCAAAATTACACTAAATACATGCCAGGGTTGAAAAGAATATTTTCGAACCTGGAAGTGTGTATGTATCACCAATATCCATTTGATAACGGTGATGCATACATGCGGGGCTTATTGTGAGTGAAAGTAACCTCGGAATGGGCGTGACTCTCCAGACATTCTGAAATGGGTTGCTGGATCTGCAATAGAGCTATCACCTTCTAACTCCCGGACTAAAGCTGTCTACAATGACCATAAATGCGACATTGTAGAGAGAGTTCTTCCATAATAACACTGCCGGCCAGTGGGGGTTAGAGGGAATACACACACACACACACACAAGATGATTCAGAAAAAATCGGGCCTGTTTAAATTGATGCTGCAATAAATTAATGAAACCTGGACATCTCGTACCGTACACTCCGTTTTCCGTAATTTTATGATTGGTTGGTCATTGGAAGCATCTAAGCTAGAAAGTTTAAGTGATGCTCCATTTTCCTCTGATGGTTGGGACATGAGCACTAACTCTTGTCCTAGCCTTTTATGGCTTATGGCTATAGCGTGATTACTCGCTTTCTGAAAAGATAAGATTGAAAGCAAATGGAGAATGACAAAGGAAAAGGATTATATATACTCTATGAACATAAACAAATATGTTTGATTTGAAATATACAATATGAAAAAAGCAAGAGATTGTATCCAAGGTACGACCGTAGATTTTACGTAGGATTACATGCTATGTACCAATATTCTGCGACTGTGTTAGGGAAACCACTTTTTTTCATCAAGGAAACGTCTCGTTTGCTGATGAGAAATGACGCATTTTTGTGGTTCATTCAATAGATAATAAAAAAGCGATAATTGAATGGAGAAATTTCTTGCTAAAACGTTTCAATCGCGAGATATTCGCGATCAATCATATAAATTCGATATATTTTGGTTTTTTGTAGCGTCCTGATGAAAACCTTACCTTAATTCGAAGTCTTTCTAATTAATTGACAAGACACCTACTTCAGGCATATTAATTGACAAGAGACCTACTTCAATACTGTTACGCATTTAACCAAAAACATTTGGTTGCTGGGTACATTATCAAAGAGCTTTAGGGGTGATGTTCAATGAAAATAAACTCTTAAACAACAATAATTTATGGTGGTGCTGAAAAGAGCCGTTTTGTCGTGAGCTGTATGTAGTTTGGAACGAGTGTGACGCCCTTGGCATAGACTACCCACAGCGAATAACGAAGAGCTACTGAATCCGATCACGGTAGCGGTGTGGCTTCTTCATCCTTCTTCGGTGAATGGACGCTCATGTGGGTTGCAGCTCAACCACCACATATGGTGATTGAATAAGCACCGTACGGTGAGACCGGATGGAATTCGATTTTGAAATCTGTGTTAGGGTAAGCGCTTTTTGCAGGAAATCGGTAATAATGTTGATAACCATTGCAACAGTTGGACATTTGTGTAATTTTCAATAGTGACCTATTGAAAATTTATAAAGTGTTGTTCGATTGGCTTGTTAAAATCCATCCGCTATTGACAGAGTTATAAGTGGTCAAAACCTGACTACTTTTCGTAACGAGGTCAAATTTGGTTTTTTGAAATTGCAACCCCAATATGTTGCCAAAAGACGTAATCCTACGTCAAAACATAACGTGGGTAGTCACTACCGCTGTTTTGTCACTACTAACAAATCAGTTGTTAGTAACAAGGCATAAAAAGTAGCAAGGATTAAAATGTGTTCCTTTGATTACAGAAAAATCCTGTTCCCCTAGTTTGAAGTTGTCAGCACTGGTTCGGTGGTAGATCTTATACCAGTAGCGCACCACGAAAAGGTAATCTACCAGCTTTACTGATTTGAAAAGACAAAAAAAGGAATGAACTCACCAAATTTAGCAAGTTCCACCTAAAGGCAGATTGACATGTGTTGTTGTAGAAGTCCAAAATGTAGACGGTCCACTTGACGAAGACCAATATGAACTAGTCCGGTTTGTGGTAGAGCTTGCACGGAATGTCTTCCTTCGATTTGAGATAAAGGAGGTTCGGATGTAGTCGATTTTTGGCAAGCCTTTTTGTGGACAATATTTAGTCATTTTCGATTTTCGATTGGCAAGCCTTTTTGTGGACAATATTTAGTCAGCTTCAGCCAACGAAGAGAAGAATGACGTCTAGGGCACCATGTTGGATCTTCTTGGATTTGGAACAGCTTGTCAGTGGCATATAACAAAAATGTAGAACTATGTAGATAGATTGATTGCAGGTCGCAGTGAACTCGCTGAGGAACTAGAAATCGTATCCTATGCCTGGTTTGACCAGATCAGCAACTGATTATAGAAAAAAAACTCTACGGAAAAAAAAACAAACGTCACTTTAGATCACACGCACAGCCTACTCTCTTTCCGATTTCTCTCCGTCCGGTCAATGATCCCCACGGGTGATGTCGCAAACCATGCTGTTCGTGCCCAGGACCACATTCGCCCCATCCATACTTGTTCTTGTTTCTTGTTTTTTTTGCTACACTCGAAAAATTTTTTGAACGTTTTGAATCGTCCCTGTAAGTATTTGTTTGTAAGGTAAACGACGGCTTTGGCAATATATTTACCTATTATCGTGATGGGGTAAACAAAGTCCTTGAGCGCTCAATTTTGACCAAACGGTGTTCTGAAACATGATGCATCAACATGCGATAAATGAGTGCAACATAACTTCATATTTCTTTGTAATATCTTGTGATAATTGACGCTTGAATTAGAACACCACAGTGAACAGCAATCAATTTAATAGGCATATCACTCGTTGTTTTGAACTTATTTTGTCGTTACAGCTGAAAAATGGAAAAACCCACTAGCGAAAATCGATTTAACTCTCTTTCTTTACGTTATACATAGTGTCGGAAGAAGTGCGCTGTGATCGCACAATGATACGCTATAATACGCACAACTTCCAACACTATGCATTAAGTATAGACTGAGAGTAAAATCGGTTTCGCTAGTGGGTTTTTCCAGTTTTCAACTCTAATGACAATTTTGCGCACATATCGTAGAGTGCAGATGGATTATGGTGCTTCACGTTGTAAATCATAAACGAAACATTTTACAAATGTTCCTTTGCGAAGTTCACCATTTCCGAAGACTGCCCGTGCCCAGTATGTTAACGTTAGATTGTTTATTAGCTTGTTGTATAATGACGTAGCAGTGATTTTTTAAGGCTGTATTGAGCTTAACATATGTGCAACCGTAAAGAAGTAACACCGACCTAACAGATATTGCCTTTGTCTACCGCTATCGTTCGTACTGTTTATTTTGGTCAACTTTATTGTAGCAACATTGTATTTTTAACACAGAAAAGTTCAGATTTAATTCAAATCTTTAATCTGTCTATCAATTCAATACCTTTAGCAGACAATCAGTTCATGCTGGCCCTTATTACGGGTATCACTTCACGGTGTCGTTTTTCGATACGCGAAATCGGTATCCGATTTTTTGCGTATTGACGCAAAGGGTACAGTCAAATCTTTCAACGCGTTTGTCTCAGAACCACTTTTTTTTTTCGCTGGCTGATAAGTTTTCTCAGAAACTATACAACTTATCGACTTGAGCTTTTAAATTTTGGTTCTTCATTTTTGTTTTCGGCTAATCTCCCATTTTCATATCAATATATTAATATTTAACGTTTTTTTTTCTTCAAGTGTCCGAAAACAGTAAACAAATGGGTAAAAATCGACCTTTTTTTTCGTATGGCTGCCATTTAGTTAAATAACAAATTTTTTTATGTGAAAGGGAGATTAGCCCAAGAATCTTATACAGATTGCTAATTGCATGCGTTTATGTGTTACAGATTAGCCGTTGCAGATAAAACTTATCGGCTAGCCAGGAGTGCACAGCGGACATGGGTATTTTCGGCCGCCATTTTTAATAATATCAAAACCTTTCAAACCCCTTAAATTTCACCGTGAACTGACACCCGCTATAAGGGCCACTGTCTAACCTTCGTTATATTAGCTTTTGAGAGTATCCATTCATGTAACTTAAAGTTCAAAAACGAATGTCCAAGTGG